GTAGGAAGATGAAATAAGCAGCACTGTTGAAAAATGCAGACATGAGTTGTCACGAATTTGAGGAGAAAAATAACACTGGTATAAAGCACTACCTAAAATAGCTCTGGACAGATACAAGCTGTCCCAATAGCTACACATGGCCCAAGACCATTCCATAATTGCCAGGAGTTTCTTTAAGAGCCTGGACATAAAAAGCCAGTGAGGCTAGAGGCTGTTGTGGCTTTGCCCGTGTGACTCTGGAATCACAAGACAACTACTCAAGAGACACAGATGCTCAACAGTATCACCCTTCACAATTCCCGTGCTGTTCTCTCTCTGGATATACTGATTAAGCCAACATGGGCTTCTTTATACTGCCCTTCTGCCATCCCTGCTTTCAGCACCTAGACAGATTTGTCAGGAATAATGAGATGAAACCTTTTCCCAATGACAAAATACTGCATCTTACTTTCCTCTAATCTGCTTAACTATTTATCCCTTCTAGCAGTCAGTAGACACACAACACTCTCCTGAGTTTCTAAATGCATTTTCTTGCAACTGAAGATCCCAGCTGAGCCATTTCCACGGTATGAAGAACTGGAGATGATAGCAAAGCTCTGAAAAAATCATTTATGATGGCAGTGGGAAGCCAGGAATGTAAACTTTGCTCACACACCACTGCAAGAGCCTCAGCATGCAAGTTAAGTAAATGAAGTTTTCTAACAGTCCCTGTTTGCTGCGTTATGTATTGCTCAGGTAGTACAATGTCCAGAAATCAGTCACAGAAATCAGAGAGCAGTAATGCTAGTTGCATCATCAGGGCTTGCTTGCAGGGAGGAAGAATTATAGCATCACTGAATGTTTTGGGTCGGAAGGGACCTTTAAAGGTGATCTAGTCCAACCCCAAGAACTACAAGAACAAGCTCTGTAAGGAAGATTTTCTCTCTAAGAGCACTAATGTGCTATTTCAGGGTACCACAGCACAGACAGGAGAACTACAGCAGGAAGTACAGTATGTACTTACATGGACGTGGTTTATTTGGTGAAGAAATATAAAAAAGCTTCACTATATTTACACACTTGCCAGATCAACCAAACCTCGCTCCTCAAGCACAGCTCATACATTCAGTTCCTGTGTGGAGTGGGCTCCTGAGTGGGCAGCGATCGGATGCTGTGGATCCCTCCTCTCGCTCTTGGGATAAAACTAAGTTTCAAGTGATTTCAAAGGTTCATCTACATCACTTACTGAAGTCCATCCCAACATACACACCCACCCCAACCACTGTCCTACGGTCATTATAAAAGTTACAGGCATGCAAAACTAAGTCCTGTTCGAGTACATCTAAGTCTGAAAAGTTAGGTCGCCAGCGCCCGGTAGAAATCTGTGGCTTAAAAAAGGGGAGAGGGAAAAAAAAGGGCAATGTTCAAAAAGATTTTAAAACACTCAGGAAAGGAGGAAAAGCTCTAGGCAAATACTTCTGCAAGTATCTCTCTTTCTCACATCCCTTTCAAACTCACCAATCCGAGTGTTTAGAGCAGCTTGAGCTGTCAATTTGCAAAACTACTGCTGCTCTGCGCACAACACAGTGTTTTGGGACAAATATCTCCATGTATCCACATGAATAATTAACAGCATGCAGTTGGTACTAATTGCTACTCCCCTGAGACTTTGCACTGCATCTGTTCAGAACCATTGCTATTGTTCTTTGATCGTAAGCTACAGTGGTTTGAATTACATGAAAATCTGAGTTGTCATCACAAGAAATACCAAACTTGTAAGTAAATTCCTCCAAAAAATCTTGAAAATATGGTTGAGACATCTGGGAAATTTTGAGGTTTAGAATGTAGTTAGTAAGAAAATATGATTAACGTTTCTTTAAACTTTAATAACTGTTTTGAGGGGGAGTAAACCCCAATTTTTTAATACTGTGGATTGGTACAATTCACTGCTGTCTTGTCTGACTGCCATGACTGTAATTCCAGCCATTTTTATGGCCATTGCTTCCAAGTAGGTCAGTAACTGCAATTCCTAGTTTACAGATAAGGAATCCAGAGCAGGGGATGACAATGACTTTGCAAAGACAAAATTTAAGTCAGGAAAATAAAAAGCTAATTCAGAACTTGGGTTCTCAATACTCTCAACTTCTACAGTCTCTCTACTACACTTCGTTCCCTCTCAAAATAAAAAGGGTTAGTAGCACTTCCTAATATGCAGCTATCGAGGCCCCGACAACACAAAAGTTGATTTTCTCTCAACTTGTGATGAGGCAGCAAAGAAATTTTACCCTTAACACTTTTCTTAACTGTCCATTTATGTTGAGTGGGCAATTCAGCACTACACTTCCCTTTCTACAGCAACTGCAATCATAAAACTTTGTAGTAAGGAGTGTGCCTCTCGTATATTGAGGATTAATTTAGTCAGAAAGTGTGTCTTCCTTTGAAATATTCAGAAACAGCTCCTGTAAAGGATATAATGACATTGCAATGCTCAGTAAAATTACGTGCTTGTCTTCCTATACATAAAGTTTCAATTTTCTTTTCTGCTTATATAATTAGTGTCATCTACTTAAGCTTTCTTATTACTGCAGTGTCATTTTTTTGCTACTACTAGATTCTGAGAGTACAAACCCAAACTGAAGTCACAATACCCAGAGATACCCAAGAAACAAGCAGCAACACTAAAACCACTAAATACTGAGCCAGTGGTCTTGGTAAAGTCCCTAATGCTAGCTGCTAAACCCGAAATTTCCTAAGTCAGTGGAAGCGCAGGGTGCCTTCCTCCACATCCTTACAAAGCTCAACTTTAAATAACTGCTATGTGCCTCCCATCTCAAAATGGCATCATCCAACATTCACAAGTGACTGAATACTTAGATTAAACTAAAGCAGGAAGTGTCCAAGAAATGCTGGGAAAACCAAATAAACTCAGTACTACTGCGAGTACAGATGGGTAAATGCGCTGAGGCAGTGAGTAGAAAGAGGAAACTGTGTGGCAACAGAAATGGAGAAGGCTGAAAACCAAGATGGAAGCAGGCAAACAGAAGCAGACAAAGCATTTTTTCATGAATCGCAGTCCAGAGCAACTGCTTCCTAAAACGCTATCCTAAAAAAGTCATAACACATAGCGCCCAAGTTGGACACTTCATAATCAAACCATATTTATCCTCCTATTTCCTTCTTTCATCCATTCCAACCCTATCTGCTCTTTGGTCTCAAGTTTCTACAGTGCAACGCGCCCACACTCTTGCTACTCTTAGAGCTCAGTGACTCTACCAAAACGCTCATCATTGACTTTCAGTGCTGACTTCGTGTCACCTCTCCAGCCCCTGGCTACACGCTGTATTGTTTTCTAAGTACTGAAACTGTGTCGTTAGCCTGATGATTCTGTATTTGCACAAGGATTCAGGACATGAAGTTTCTGAAGCTCTCCAAAGCTGAATCTTTCAGGTGTAGGTAGCTAGATTCTGGGCAGATGGCTCTTTCAAGTCACACTATCAGCCACACAAAGGAGCAATCCCACTAAATGGACATACACATGCAGTAGTTTTATATCTGGACTGATTCCTGGTAACATAAGAATCAACTACTCAGTCTTCTAGTAAATTCAAAATATCCCCAATCTTCTCATCACAGAATCACAGAATGGTTTGTCTTAGAAGGGACCTTAAAGATCATCCAGTTCCAACCCCACTGCCATGGGCAGGGACACCTCCCACTAGACCAGGTTGCTCAAAGCCCCATCCAGCCTGGCCTTGGACATTTCCAGGGATGAGGCATTCACAAGTTCTCTGGACAACCTGTTCCAGTGTCTCACCACTCACATAGCAAAGAATTCCTTCCTAATATCTCATCTAAATCTACCCTCCTTCAGTGTGAAGCTTTTACCCCTTGTTACTACACTGTAGGTCCCTTTTAAGTACTGGAAGGCAGCTATAAGATCTGCCCAGACACTTCTCTTCTCCAGGCTGCACAACCTCAACTGTCTCAGCATGTCCCCATCGGAGAGGTGCTCCAGCCCCCTGATCATCTGCATGTCCCTCCTCTGGACCGCTTTGAGCAGGTCCACATCTTTCTTATGCTGAGGGGCCCTAGAGCTGAACACAATACTGCAGGTGGGGTCTCACAAGAACAGAGTAGAGAGGGAGAATCACCACTCTCAACCTGCTGGCCACGCATCTTTTGATGCAACCCAGGATGCGACTGACTTTCTGGGCTGTGAGAGAACATGTCTCTGGGTCCTCCGATTTACGCGTTTAAGAATAGAGGAGCTGATGTTTCTAAGAAACTCAGGCATCTAACCTACATGAATACTTGCAAAAGTTCCATGAGATACCGTGTATGTCTTTAAAGACCTAGATAGGGTATTCTGAAATACCTAGTTTTATGCACATGGGAATCCTAACTTCACTGAAAATCACTCAGATTTTAAAAAATATTTTCTAAAGCACTGAATATGATTTACCTTACAAGCTTTACTTTCAAGGGAATTTAGTCATCTAGGTCATGTAAGTACTTTAGAAACTGTTCTTTTTTTCTACCCCTGCTCCCATTTTTTCACACTGACTACTTTAGCTACTCTACTTCTGTATGACTCAAAGCATACACTCTCTCTGTAATCAATGGATGTAGACAGCTCCTGCCAAACGGTGAGTCACAGCATCTAAGTTGGATGCCTAATGTCTTAAAGTCAGTGTGAATACCGATCTTTTTATTGTGTCTGGGTTTCGGCAAGCAATTTTGTCAACTTTGTGATGTACCGTAAGATAAGGACATACCACAGTTTTTCTTTCATTAATTATCTGGAGACAGACAAAGGGGGAGATATTTTTTTTTTCCATGCAGATGACCTTTCTAAACATTGAGGTGGGGAGGGGCTGAGATATCAGATGGAAAGCAGGCACAACTCCTCCCAAACCACAGGAGGTGCAGGCACTTGGCAACTTTCCTGTAAATAACGGGATTATAACAGCACTTTATCTTCTACACCCCATTGAACAAAAGAAATACAAATGAAAAATTACCTGAGCACCATAGACTCGTTGCATTGCCTGAAGCAACTGGTTTGTATATTCAGTAAGGGTTCCTGCATCTTCTTCAAACACGCTGAGCAAAGACCGAGTCTTCAATGAAAGAAAAAAAGCAAATGGTTTTAGTCTGAGTGAAAATATTAAAAAGAATCATAACAATTCTAAATAGATGTTCGCAAAAATTACAAATAAATCAGAAATAAGAAGCCTTTACCTTTGCATGATTCTGTTTATTCAGAATCTCAAAACAGTGATAAAATGCTATGGCCAAATCCTGACTCCCAGTCTCTTGCTGTATCGAACAGGCATTCCTTCCAACATAAGCAATATCCTGAATATCTGCCTGATGACTACAGTAATCCAAACCACTTTAAGGACTCTGGGTCAAACACCACTGCTTGCTCACTTTACTTCTCTAATGTCAGACTGCATTAAAAGCACCCCTTTCCAGGAGATAATTTACAGAGTATTATTCACTCTCAGCTGTCTTGAGCAACTCCTAAAGGGCCGCTGCCAAAGCTAGCTGACGTACTCAACCAAACAACCGAGTGTTCATCTACAACAACGGGCAGAGAAGCACACGCCCGCTCCGAGATACCCCGTACTTTCTCCATTCTGCTAGCTCATCCTTGTCAGCAAATGTGGGGTTGGGCGTGGAGGAGAGGGAAAGAACATGATGACTTGTGTTATCTTAAAGACATGAATTCCCTTGGTTTGTTTTGGTGGCATCATCAGGAACAATGAGTTACGTTGCTAACACAGCTCCAGAGATGGGAAACAAAGGCATCTCAGAATAATGCTGAGCTCCAGAATTTGCTAGATCATGAAAACAACAAAAGAGGAAAGGCTGTTACTTTAACAAAGTAACGATCCATCCTTAGTCTTAACTTTGGTAAATCCAATCTATTTGATACTAACTGGCAATGTCTTTCCATCTGTACAGCTAACTTACAGGACATTAATTAGTTCCATCTGCTTATGTTAGGGGCACATATAAACTCCAGTAGTTCCATAATCATGTCAGTCCTGTAACAGAGCAAGTGCTTTATCTATCCTCCTGTTAGAGGAATCTATAATGTACCTGAAGTATCCTGGTTCAAAACTGGGAAATTTTTTTCAAAGATATAAGATAGTTTTAAGTTGCTCCACTATTTTAACAGAAGGCATGTATACTTCCCTAAGGCATTTACTTTTCTCTGCCAAACTCTGTTCAGACTTTAAGTTTGTCCTGAAAAACTCCAAATCAACATCCTTCAAGAACTCTGGCCAAAGATTAACTATCATTTCATTAAAGCCAGAAATCAGTGTTGCTCAGTGGTTGAAGTACGTGTCCTTGGGTTCTGTTCTAGGCATTGCAGAGGAGCACTTCCATACTTTGAGTAACTCTAAAGCTCTCAACGTTTCAGCTTGCCAACGTGCCTTAGCAAAAAAAAAACCCCAAAACGCCTGCTACAATACTTCCTACTTTAGAGACACCAGCTGTCAATGCATTTGGGAAACTACTTTGATATCTCAGCATGTAAGGAGATTTGTAATACAAAGTACTGTTTTCAAATAAAGAGAACAAAAATACCCTAAGAATGGAGAGAGGGCCAAGTCAATGAAATAGGTATCAAGACTATAAAGAAGCTTTGTGTAGAACTTCCCTACAAGGACAGTGGGCATGATTTTGAGAGTTTTCTATGCTAAGCTATTATTTCAGGAATTGTAAACATATTGCTTTTCAAAAATATCTGGTGTTATGTGTTTTACCTTCAAAATTAACGTCAACAAACTATCTTGTATCTACACAGTGCTCATCCCCATTGTTTTGTGTTTCAACAGCACGTGAAATGCACAGGCAAAAATGAGAAAGACAAATCTGAAGCCAAGAATAAAAAGTTATACAGAAACTGCATGCAGTAGGCTACAGATCACACGTTTCTGCATGCTGGAAAAGATTTCCAAACACAGGAACATCAGCTACATTCCTCAAACCTACTGAATTTTTGCAGGTTCAGTTTTTCAGATGTCTAAATACAAGCTGAGGTGGAAAAGCCCTGGGAAATAATTTCTCAAAGTCTTGGTCTCAGTTATTAAGCACATTGTTCAAAAATAATACAAATAATAAATTATTCAAGCAGTTTGGCAGTTATTCTTGGAAATTTTTCTATTTAAGAACACCATTTTAAATCACTGCAACAAAACACCAGCATGTGCAAATTTTTGTTGTTGCTGCTTTGACAAATTCTGGAATAGCAGCTAATGCCGCTGAAATAAACCAGTAATCAAACGTTAAGCTAACATTCAGGAGGTCTCTTTAATAGCACCACTATTGTGGCTTCTGGAAACAGAAGGAAAAAAGTCTATTTTCACGTAAGTATCTCCCTTGGTTTTAGCATGACTGCTTACACAAAATTTTTACTTCAAAATTAAGACACTTCTTAAGGCCTTTTTCGGCCAGTGCCTGGAGATAAGTCAAGACAGAAGTGCTATATTGCTGGGGAGCAAGAAGTCAAGTTCCAGGAAAATGATGAAGAAATAACTTTGGCCTAATTCTCTTCTGTCTTGCAAGTAATTTGTGTACTTCACACAGTTTATACAAACTTAGGTGATATCCTCATTTTACCATCACTTTGCATTGCTGTTAGTGACTGCACAGTGCAAAGGAGAATCAGGTCACTCCACAGAAGTAGATGATCCCAAAAGCTGCTCCACTCTAAGTTCTGTGGGACAGAGAGTGCCTTTTTGCTCTGATTTTGTAACACCCAGCTCACAGAGAGACTGTGAATCTAAAGCTCTCTCCAAGAAAAAAAAGAAAAAAACAAACGACTGAAAAAAACCACCTCTGTTTCCTCACATGAAAAAATATTTTATCAACATCAGGCTATTATAAAAATTAAACAGTGTCCCTCCCACCAAAAGTTGTAGAACAAAAAGTAATGACCAAATCAAGCCAAAACATCCTGCAAATAGTTGGTTTTATGCACAGCCTGGTACTTCCAGTAATTGCAAAGGTCTTCAAGTCAGAAGAAAGATGAAGACCTCCACATTCAATTCAATGCACTGTTCAGCTGCTTTCAGTCAGTGTTACATTTTTAATCACTGAAGGAAGCATTGACTGAAGAGGTGAGTTCACTTATCCCGCGTGTCAAGTTCTTCAGCTCCAGAATGCAGTGAGGAGGTTAATACTAAAAACATCAGTAACTGCTCATAATAAATCTAGCTCATTTTGGTAGTGTGGAACACAGAACAGCTCAGGCTGGCAAGGAACCCTCCAGGCCACCTTGTCCGAACCCCTGCGCAAAGCAGGGCTGAACCTGACATTGCACCACGTTATTCAACACTTTTTCCAGCAGCATTTCAAAAATTATCAAGGATGAAGATTCCATATACACCATATCAAACAGATGACGAAAACCATTCTTACTAGGATGGGATTTCATGTAATCACAGAAAAACGGGATAAGGAGAGGTGTTCAAGATGAGCCCTAAAACTTGTTAAGTCCTGACAGGTGCATGTCCAATCTTTCCTTCAAGATGTCTCATGACAGACGCGGTAACACCTTTTAGCAATCTGCTCCACAGCTTACTTACTCATTCCTCCCCCAATCCATCAGCTGATGAGTTAGGATTACAACACAGGGCTATCTGAGAGCAGGATCCATGCTGATCCACCCTGCCCTCCCTTCTTCTGTCCCTGCCTCACCAATTAATTTGTATCTCTACCTGCACCACCGCTTTGTCCTCAGGTACACCTTCCTCACCTCTCTGTGAAACTTCCACTCAGCTTCTCTCTTCCACTCAAACATCCCTCCTTCCAACCTCCTTTCCCAGCTCTGGAGGCGTCACACCTCTCTGCCCCCTGAAAACATCCTGACACGGCATGTTCTTCGCTGGGGGGTTTCCACGGTCCTCAGGGGTCACTTCTGCAGCCGTGTCACACCATGGCTGGGCCCAGCACCAGGGCGAGAAACGTCCTCCCCTGCCTGTGGTAGGGGAGCAAAGCGCCGCAACCGCCCATCCTCGTTTCTGGGACAACTTGAGAAGGAAGGCATCTCCGGTGGGATCCACCTCTCCTCATGGGAAGCTCCTGTATCTGAACTACCGCCCTGGGGACTTCCTCACCAGGCACACCGGAGGTGACATTCCTTCGCCCCACTTTTGTGACCGGGGCCGGGTGACTCACAGCACACAAGTCTCCCTTTTCCCCTTGGGGGAAAGCCAGGGCACCGGGCCGTGTCCCTCAACCCTTCACCAACACATGTCCCCTCTCCAGTGCAACCTACACAGCCAAGACAGGGCAGGTGAGGAAAAAGCCAAAGGAGGAGTTTCTTAGAGGGAGCAGAGGACAGAATCAGAGACTATTAGGG